ATGCATGTGTTTGGGAAGAACTGAGCATATGACTGGATGAATGAGATTATACTTCATGAGCTGTGTGAGAGTTTGTAAACTGTTTTGGTATACTCTGCTGTTGTTAAATGCAGACTTTAGTTACCTTAATGCCTGGAAAATGGATTGTCCATTCATCATGGAGGGATGCATAAGAACAGTTTCTTTCCCCACGAATTCAAGATAACATGCAGTGAGTCATTGAAATAATAAAGGTCATTTTACAGGTGAAGTATTACTTTAATGTTTGACCTCATTTTTGTTGGGGATGGACCAATTTGGATTTTCCCAACCAGTACCTATAACCAATAATTACCTGCTTCTCATGGTCGATAACCAATAAGATAACCGATAGGCTCACCTGAGGGTGTTAAATGCTAAGATGCAGTGAGAAATTATCTACAGTCATTGTTGTTCTTCTTCTCTGTGTTTATTGGAGGCTCGCAAACCAAGTGTAAAGGCACATGAAGCGCCACACACTGTATCAGGATGTGAAGATGCTGCCTTTGTTAAGTCAATGAAAGCAGTCTGGCATCGTGTTATTGGCGCTATTTATCTGCTGTAATTTTAATTATCATAATAATGCATAACTGTGACAACGTCCCGTGACGTGAAGGCTTAAATTCCTTTTGCACAGGAACTGTTGAACATGTTTCAAACAGTAGAGTGCGTCACGTTTAAATGGAGCAGTGTGCTTATTTATTTTTACTCAGCTCACACTGACTAATATTATCCTTAAATTTGATCAGATGTTATCTATTAAAATGTTCTATTTTCATCTTATTTTGTGTTTTATTGAGGCCGGTTTTAATCTCACTCCAACCTTGTAAAAGCACATTGTAGTTTGACCAAATAAAAAAGAAAAATGATTACACGCTCTCTTACCCAGAACACAATAAAAATTAGTTTCACTCTGTATTTCTTTCACTGTCTGTCTGGACTGGCAGTGCGCCAGTGTGACCACAGAGCCTACAGTGACACTGCAGACTTGGATAGCACACACACACACACACACACACACACACACACACACACACTCTTACAGTAACATACTGTCAAACCCGAGGCATGCTGCGATGTCTTCAGCGCCTGTGACGTGTTGTGTGTGAGAATGTGTTCATGTGCTTGTGCGTTTAACAGTGTGTTCATGGACATCTGTGTGTCTGCGTGTGTGTGTGTGTGTGTGTGTGTGTGTGTCACCTTCTCCCTCCATGCAGCAGTGGAATGAGATTACTTTGATTGACAGGTGTGACCGATGTTTACCGTGCACACACACGTACCCTCACACCAACAATGTGATTATTATGATTGCCACATGGATATATGTCATGTCGGGGTCGCCATGGCAACAGTAACGTGCACAGTCTTACCTTGACATGGGCGTAATGTCATAGTTTATCTGCTGACAGGATAAGTGTTGTTCTGCCACCAGTGTTTCCTCCAGTGGAGGCTCAGTCCCTGCTGGCTGAGGACGTATATTTATGTACATCTCTAATATATTGATACACGTATCTGTGCATCTGATACCACAGTATAGATCTGGTTTTAAAATATTGGGGTACAACGTTGCCCTAAGTAACGACTGATGGAGACGGCACACGTAAGGATTATTTCGTATCAAACTGAAAGAGAAAAGAAGCTACAGTACAGTTAAATAATGAAGAGATGGCTGTGTGCGACATCAGTGGTGTCGGTGATGCCTGAGTGAGGCTGTTCTCCATTTGGCCGTGCTGGTGAGCCGTATGTTACGCAGCAGCAAGGTACAGTGGAATCTACTTAAATGGAGTGCAGGAAGTACAAGATGCAGCAGGTTGTAACGTTGGATCTCTGTCAGCAGGTAATCGCACAGTGGCAGGTAGTGTGGCTCATGCTGTGCTAACACTTCCTGTAGAGGAGGAGTTTAATAAGATGAAGTAAAAACAGATTTCAGTTTGGCCAACTTGATAAACACATTAATCACATTCATTTACTGCTGTGCAAACAGGAGAAGATGGATATCAGGCTCATGTTTGTGAGTCAGGAGCCAGGGAACCAACCCAACCGCCAGAAGAAATGTTGGCAAACAGATATGTTACATTTGTACATTAGTATTTTGCAGATACATTGAAACTACATTTCAACAAGGCTGTGGTTAATGTGTGGTTACATTTAGACATAAAAAACACTTAATTATGGTAAGGAAAAGGTCATGTTTTGGGTAAAAATCTCCATGTTTCTTGGCACCATCCCAGCAGGAAATGCAGCGGTGGCTTGGTAAAGAAACAACTGCACTTTGTGGCTCTGTCCCCGGTACAAAAACAGAGATGGGCCCCTAATAAACACCTGTGTGATTGCCAAAAACCCGCTGAAAAAGCCCCCCTGATGACTCACTGAAACACAACCAATCTTGTTGTAATTGGTCTCGAACAGTGGTCTTCAGTTTGATGTCTCGCCATGGTGTCACAGCATCCACCTTCCCCTCATCCTTCGAAGACAAAGTCAGCTCATATACAAGATGCAAAACAACCACAAAGACACGCAGAATAACCAGAATACAAAGACTCTAAATTACCTGAAAGAGACAGAGAACAACTACAAAGAGATGCAAAACAACACAAAACGTGGCTACACAGCAATAAAGTGTGTGTCTTGCTCCTGTCTGTGGGGGGGCCCACAGTCTGACAATGTGCCACTGATCATAAAGTATAAACCTGCACTCAGAGCACAGGCTGAGTGTTTGCTGAAGCATGCCCTGCTGTGTCCTGCAAAACTGAACTACGCCCATCTGGGTGAAATGCCAAGTTTTCAGGGAGTCCCAGTCTGCCTTTGTTAACAACATGCAACTGGCAGTGAAACCAAAAATCTGTGTTTTCACGTTTCCTTTTATTTATGGATTTAAAGCCAGGAGAAAGAGAAAGATTGACTGACTTTAGTGTAGCCTCTGTGTAGATGTCATGTATCATCTTTAAAGGAGGTCAATCAGTCAGAGTTTTCGTTGGTACATGAGTTTAAATATTACTGAACATGGCAGCACCTCCAAATCTGCGGCCATGGTTCTGTGTCAGAAACTGGTGGATCGCCCTCTCTGGGTCGGGGGAGAGTTACTGCCTCAAGCGAAGGAGCAAGTATCTCGGTGTCTTGTTCACGAGTGAGCCTAGAATGGAACGTGAGATGGATTGGCGGGTCGGTGCGGCTTCTGCAGTGATGCGGGCGCTGCGCTGGTCCGTCGTGGTGAAGAGGGAGCTGAGCCGGAAATCGAAGCTTTCAATTTACTGGTCCATCTACGTCCCAACCCTCACCTATGGTCATGAGCTCTGGGTAGTGACCGAAAGAATGAGATCGCAGATACAAGCAGCTGAAATGAGATTCTTCAGTGGGGTGGCTGGACTCAGCCTTAGAGATAGGGGGAGGAGCTCGGAGTAGAGCTGCTGCTTCTTTGTGTCGAAAGGGGTCAGTTGAGGTGGTTAGGGCATCTGACTAGGATGCCTGCTGGGCGCCTCCTGCTGGTAGGAGGCCCGGGGCAGACCCAGAACACACTGGAGGGATTACATATCTCGTCTGGCCTGGGAACACCTTGGGGTCCACCAGGAGGAGCTGGAAAGTGTTGCTGGGGAGAGGGATGTCTGGGGTGCTTTGCTTGGCCTGCTGCCCCCCTGGATAAGCGGATGAAAATGGATGGATGGCTGAATATGGCAGAGGGAACAGAAAATAATTGAAAACCACCCAGTATGAAAAGACATGTACTGTTGAGCTGTTGCACCGTTGTAGCTGTGATTCAGTTGATCCAAAGATGCTTTTCATTTAACGTTTTTCATTTAATGTTAATATCAATTTCCCAATAAATCATGTTGTAATCCATTTTTATTCCTTCCCATCTGCAGCAGCCACAGCCAGAGGCATTATGGCTTCAGATTGTCCGTTCATCTGTCCCATTCTCGTGAAGACAACATCTTAAGAACACCTTGGGGGAATTTCTTTAAATTTGGCACAAGCGTCCACTTGGACTCAAGAATGAACTGATCAGAATTTGGTGGTTGGAGCTTAAAGATCAAGGTCATTGTGACTTCACAGAACATACGTCAGTTGTGACAGAATCTCACACAAATGTCTAACAGGATGCAGGGGTGACAGTTTATATCCAAAAGGTCAAAGGTCAGCTTCACTGTGACATCATAATATTCTTCAAAAACACTACTTTGGCTATTATTCAACATCATTTCAGGAACGGAAGGGGAGACATTTGGTCAGATGCTGAATTGGTGACTCTAATCTTGAAACTGAAGCTGATTGTTTCGATCTACTGTGCTGCTGGGTTGGAGATGTGTGTGAAGCATCCATGTTTTAGAGTATGTCACTTCTTTGCAACAACATCCATGTTCAAAGCATCGTCTACTGTCATGGCAACATATGTGTCTGGACAGACATGGATGTAAACTGTAGCTGCAACTCGACTGGTTTGCAGAGGCGTACAAACACGAGGCAGTAATTCTAGTAAAGTTTATTCCAGCTAAACTCAAATTAAATTAGAAGATGTTAGTCACATTGAAAGAAAATATTTTTCTGCTTTTCTTTTTCAGATGAAGTCTTTGTTTTTGGAGCAAACTTCTGTTTTTTGCCAGTGTCTTAAAATGTAATACCCTGAAACAAGAGAAAACATGACTGCTTTCTCACCCCTCTTCACTATAGGGATGCATCTTTGATTTAGCCGCAGTAAATCAAACATCAAGTCCAGCTGGAAACACTGCTTGTCTCATGATCTGACTGACGGAGAGCCTGCCTGATGCTAGAATGAATCTCTTGTTTTTAGGGGGGTCACAAGATAAGATTTTGAGAAGCAGCCGTTAAAACTCCAGATTGTGGCAGACCACAAAAACTGCATCTCCTCTGTGTCATGCTGATCCTGTTGTTTCGCTTTGGTTAAACATCTGATTTGAGCACGAGTTTTACCATAATCACTGAGTATCAGTCTGAACTTTGTCTCCCCTCTGTATGTCTTCCTACAGGTTAACAGACCTGACAGGCTCCCTCACAGATGGACCAGTGAACTATAAGTACAAGACCAAATGCACTTGGCTAATAGAAGGATAGTAAGTATCAGTGTTTGTCTTCTCCTCTGTCATCATTGATCTTGCTTTGTTCCACTCAGGTTAAAAACTGTGATGCGTCTTTGTATCTGGCTGAAGGGCTCCAAATAGAAGGAATTTGTCTATATATGTAGTTACTGTGCTGCAGAGTTGCTTTGTGCCCATTAACTGCTCAGAGATGCACCAACTGAACGCACACAGAGATACACGTTTTCTGTGTAGAGAGCTTTTTACATTTCATTCTTCTTAAGACAACTGTAAAAAAAAACATTATTTTCCACCACATCTGGAAAAATACAGAGGCCTTAATTTACAAAACAAATGTATGATGGCAACTTGGGTGCATTTCCACACAGAGCTCAGTATTTATCAATGTGGACGTGAGCAGAGGCTACAATCAAGTCTCACGTCAGGTCTCAACTCATGTACGCAAGTTTGACCCACTGTGGACTTGTGGTGCAGCAAATCTGGCCGAGTTGGAGAATTGTTATTAGACCATATTCTGAGTGGCATCTAAGTATTTGCAGCCACAAATTGTTACCTTAAAAATGTATCGCCGCCACATGGACGCACGCTCTCGGTCACAGATTGCAGTTCCTGGCTCTGTGGGACAGACTGACCAAAGGATGAACGCCACTGGTGCCCGACTCCAACTCATCTGAGACTTTTATTTATATTATTTATCATTATAACATCATTGAAAACAAATAAATAAAGCCTGCAGCAGTGTAATTATTTAAATACTTGTATCCTAGGTAATCAAATGTTTACCTTTTTTGGGCTTGGACATAAGTCTGTGTCTCCTCCACCACCTGCCATGCCTGAATGGAAGCAGAGCTGATACATGTGGCTACGCGCTCCTCAGTCTGGTTTAACTATTAGTGGGGCAGCATAGCTCAGTATTTTTCTAGAATCGTTCAATTTTGTGATAAAAGCACCAAATTTGGCAGATGTGTTGAGAAATATATTTAGAACAAATCTGGATATTGGGGCATCAGAAACTTGCCCCCTGGTGGCCAGAGCAGGCAATTGAATCCTACCTGCCTACCTAACTGGACCCGTCCCGTTAATTGGATCCACTCCAAAACGTAATGGCTTCTAAGTTGGACCAAGCTACATGCCTCCATCAAGTTTTGTGAAAATCGGTTGGACAGTTTTCACGTAATCCTCATCCAAAAAATGAATGGAAGTGAATGGGTGGCCACCAATGTATTCTATTCCAGTATATTAAGCTATAAATGTACCAAATTGGGCGCTTTTATCGCAAAAATTAATTTTTTTTTAGCTATGCCGCCCAGTTTATTAGCAGAATTATACAAAAACTGCCTGACCGATTTTCACAACATTCGGTGGAGGGATGTAACACATGCCAGCTTAGAATACATTACATTTTGGTGTTAATCCAACTCAGGGGGCGTGTCCACGGGCTGCCCGCACATGGCCGCTCATTCACTTCCATTCATTTTTGGATGAGGATTACGTGAAAACTGTCCAACCGATTTTCACAAAACTTGATGGAGGCATGTAGCATGGTCTAACTTAGAAGCCATTACGTTTTGGAGTGGATCCAATTAAGGGGACGGGTCCATGGGCAGGTAGGATTCAATTGCTCTCTTCTGATGCCCCAATATCCAGATTTGTTCTTAATATATTTGACAACACATCTGCCAAATTTGGTGTTTTTATCACAAAAATGAACGATTTTATAGCTATGCCGCCCCACTATATATGATTTTATATGAATATTATAACATCATCAATATGATATAAAAATAGGCTGAAGTTATTTATGTATGTAGGCTGTGGGTTTGTACATATCATGAATATATAAATTAAATATTACACTTACACCACCAGCAGGTCAATAGCTCCAATAGTGGGAAACTTGTCAGTAATAACACACTGTCTGCCAGTGCCTGAAAGAATAATTCCTTTTTTTATGTACTGTATTTTACTGGTTAGTAAATGTATTCTGAATTTGAGGTTACCCAGCTGTGGATAGAACAAGAGTGTCTTTGTATTTGTGCAAATGGATTTGCTCATAAACATGATATGTCACACACACTCCTCCGCCCATCCAGACCACTTACTCCTGAGCTATAGTGTGTGAGCAGGTGGAGCGTGTGTTTTATCTGCAGGGCTCCAGATTGATACTGTTCAGTCAAATTTTGTGACCACCGAGCACCACTGGGACTTGCAAATATTATTAATATATGGACTGGAGAGCTGTTAGTTTGTTTCCTGCTTACAGTGATTAAATCATAACGTTTAATGGCACAGTTAAATTTAAGTTAAACAATACTGTGAGCAGGCAAGGTTTGTGTTTTTGTACCTGCAGGGCTCCAGATTGTGACTAATAAGTCACATTTTGTGACTACAGAGCACCAGTGTGACTTGCAAATATTATTAATATATGGACTGGTGGGCTGTTAGTTTGTGTCCAGCTTACAGTGACTAAATCATCAGGTTTAATGGCACCACAGTAATAGTTTAACTTAATGGTGGGCTGTTAGGCGTCCTTTAACACTGGCATGATACGCTGCTGGTTGCCGTTATAGTTTAACGGCGCCAAGCAGCATCAGGGGGAAACGCATTAGGACAAAAGTTAAGGCAGCAAAAGTCCTAATGGGGCGGGCAGGAGGGATGGTGGATGGTTCCAACAAATGCTGACTTTCACCCAAGAGAGCAGCGTTCCAAAGCCAAACCCTGTTCTTTTTGCCTAAACCCAACCACGTGTGTTTGTTGTTGAAGGAAAAAAAAACGTCAATTCGCGTTGTTGTACTGACATGAATTTCCTGTGAAAACAGAAGTGTATGTTGAAAGAAGACAATGCATGTAACAGGCAGAACTTCACACGGTGTCCCAGAAAGTCAGCAACCAACGAACCCAGGGTACCTTGCATGTCATATGTGGAAGTGGGAAGACCATGACCAAACGTCGATATGTGACGAGGTCGGAGTGAGAATGTGTTGGTTAGTGTGTTTTCAGCCAACAGTAATAGATTAACCTGCTTGTTTGCTTGCTAATTTCAGCACTAAGATCAACAATACGTCTATTTTTAACATTATTTTTATGTAGCTGTCTAAAAAAAGTAGCTTGAGTTGAGAATGCACTTACACACACGGCACTCAGCGATCAGAGTCCTGACACAATGTGCAGGTTTCTGTCAGAGAACTCCTTTTAGCATATGCATGTTTCTCAAGACTGGGAAACGAGATTATTCCAGAGTTCGGGATACTCAGTACGGCAAAAAGGTTTTCTGAGGTACTCTGTGAGTTTGAGTAATTTATGATCAAAACCTCAGACTTCATAAATACTGGAGACACCTTTCAGAAGTAAGAATAATATGAAGCGTATAGGTAATATATATTCATCAAATGCATTTTGTCATACCCATCTATTCTGTGTTCTGTCTCCTCTCACTTCCCATCTCCCAGCCCTAATGCAGTACTCAGGCTGCGCTTCAATCACTTTGCCACGGAGTGCAGCTGGGACCACATGTACGTCTATGATGGAGACTCCATTTATGCTCCTTTGATTGCTGTCTTCAGGTAAGCGCCTGCTACTCTGAATAGGAGAGCTGCAAGAGGGGGTGGGGGGGCGATATGGAAATGACTCAGGTAGCCTTCAAAAGCCCCAACACTTTTTCAGTCAAATGGCTCCACGTATGGGCAAACAATGGGCCTCATAATCACCATTGTACCACAATACAGCGATAATAGGAAGAAAATATTGCAATTACTCACATTATCCCTGAATACCACTTCTTTCTGGAGCTTTATTGCATATATTCATATTTTCTTTTCCAAAGGACAATCTACAGTAATGTGGGTGGCACTTTCATTTGACAAAAATTCATTAAAAAACAGTAATGCCACAATAATTTACCAACCTCCCACTTTCTACTCTGCTCCGCGGAGGCTTATCTCCTGTTGAGAGTTCACTTGCTCACAGGATATGAAAGAGCTAATTTGGCCTATTCCAACCAAGGGGAAATTATCTGGCATTTGAATATACAAACCCTAGGCTTGTGTACCGTTATTACCTACAATAAATAAGCTTACATTGTTCATAATAGATGGGTACATACTTGTGTTGGGATAAAAAGGCAATAGTTGCAGCAGGGAGGATTCATAATGGACGAGGGGACATTTGCAGCGCATTGCATTTATTAAAAGAGACAAGCCGAGCAAATAAGAAACCACCAACCCCCCACAGTAAAACCTCATCAAACAAATAAAAACATAACGTGGTATGACTGTGCTCTGCAATGTTGTTTTACTTTAAAGCTAATCACTGTCATATTTGTGGCGGGGCCTGCAATTGCTCAAATGGAATCCTTTTTATCTTACAGCTTTCCGCTGATGCTTTCAGACCAGAGTCCATAAAATACAGAATGCTTTTTATCATTATTACTTTTTTTTGTTGAGAGGGTCTGTGTGTCTTTCCAATGTCTCATTCTCTGTTTGTCTCCTCCTCAGTGGTCTGGTAGTGCCAGAGACCAGAGGTAATGAGACGGTCCCAGAGGTGGTGACGACGTCCGGATACGCCCTGCTTCACTTCTTCAGCGATGCTGCGTACAACCTGACCGGGTTCAGCATCGCCTACTCGTATGTCTAGAGTTGATCCTCCTTCACTCTGTTTTTGTAGCCTTTTCTAAGACAGATGTATGAGTGTCTGATAAACCCACTGTGCACCTGAGCCCTGTTTCCACTGAGCAGTACGGTTCGGTACAGTTTGGTACACTTTTTTTCTGTTTCCACTGTGAAAAGTTGTGGATGGTACCAACAGAAGCGTTCCTTAGCGTCCCCATGTTTGCCCCCCCCCCCCCTGTTGGGGTACCTAGCACACAGATCTGGTACTAAAAGGTGGAGCTGTGAACACTGCAGTCTGGACGGTCACTCTGCTCAGGGCTGAGTTGTGACTGGTTTTGAGGCTCATGTAACCACTGTTCATACTGTGGAGAGTTTTATTAGTAAACTGTAACTATAAAATGAAAGGATGTTGAGAAAAAATAACTTCATTCACTGGGCCGACTGCTGGCAACTTTTAAGGTGGAACGTTAACTTGTAATGTTACTCAATGCATGAGTTGATGACGTGAATCCATCAGCACACCTTAAATTTCACCATTATTTTAGTTTTTATATGACAGACACTTTTAGTAATGAGTGGATCTTCAAGCGTTTATAAATATTCATTAATTTCGACCGGTTTATGTGAACGGCATATTACGGTGTTTTTTGATGTAATTTTTTTCTGTTTTTCGTGGTAATTTTGTTCTGAGTATTTTTTTCTGAGTTAAGAGAGCAATAGAACAACAGATGCTTTCATTCCTTTCTTGAGAGCTGGATATAATGGAAGCAAACATGACCCGCTTGTTTAGTTTAATCCAGTTTTACTTTGTTTTGGGTTATGTGTCCAACTGATTCTGGAGAAACACTGCAATGTCCAGCAGATCTAAATGGGCTTTTAATCTGAACAACCACAAAGTCTTAAGGTGCCTGCGTAAAGTCAACAAACTAATGATAACACCATCTATATGACTTAAAGACAAGAGTATCTCCCAGTGTCTCAAACCTAAAACAAAGTAAAATACTCAGAAAAACAGAAGAAATTACCCTGAAAAACAAAACAAAAAATACTACAAAAAACAGAAAAAAATACTACGAAAAACAGAAAAAAATACTACGAAAAACAGAAAAAATTACCCCGAAAAACAAAACAAAAAATACTACGAAAAACAGAAAAAAATACTACGAAAAACAGAAAAAATTTACCAAGAAAAACAAAAAAATACCACGAAAAACAAAAAAAATACTACAAAAAAAACAGAAAAAAATTATCATGAAAAACAGAAAAAATTACTCAATAAAACGTTTTTTTTTTATTTGTCAAGCGAATGCAATACTCTTTCGTAGCATATAACCCAATTCTCACTCTGAGAAAAAACAAAAAAAAAAACTGTTGCGGAGCGTTGTTCCTGTGGGCTACAGCAACACCAAACCCCTGAGCTTGCCTGAGAAGGACTAAATGCACAAAGCTGCTATGTTTAAATATCCCATGGAGAGAGACTCTCACTGCAGCCTGTTCTATTTTGTTCTGAAAATGTGGGCGTGCAGCCTCGTTCTGTGGACGATAAACCAGGTGCAGACTTCCATCTGTGTCACCGCTGATGAGGAAATACAGCGAGTGCTGGACGGAGCAGTGAGTGACAACAACCCCGCCCACATTTAAGAGGACTGTCTGAACAGACCGAGGGTCTAGGTACCATGTCTGAAGGCTTACTGTTGGTTTCAAAAGGTACCGTATCCAAAGTGTTTGGTGGAAATGGGGCTTTACTCTGCCTAGGTTAGCAACTTGCTGCTGATGTAAGTGGATCAACTGGCATCTCAGTGCACAAGAACACAAAAGTAGTGTAAATATTGAAATTATAGTTTTTCATCAGGTGAGACATGAATCCAAATGAATGAAACATGACAGAACATTATTGTATTCAGCTCTCATGCAGTAGCAATGTGGCAAGTGATAAATATAAAACACTTAAAAGCTAGGTTCAGGTGTATTAAACAGGTTCTAGTTTTATAAATTTTATTTTTCCTTTTGTACTCCTACACTGCAAATGTTTGGGCACCATTTGTCCAGTTTTTTTTAAAGATTCTTTTTGTTGGCTTTTTGCCTTTAATGGACAGGACAGTGTGTGAAATGGGGAAACAGAGAGAGAGAGAGTGGGGACTGACATGCAGCAAAGGGTCACAGGCCGGACTCGAACCCGCAACCGCTGCGGTGAGGCAGTGCCTCTCTACATGGGGCGCCAGCACTATCCACTACACCACCGACGCCCCATTTGTCAAAATTTAATGTACTGTGAGGAGTTACGTAAGTAGAAGATGGATTGATCTCCAAAGGGCATGAAGTTAAAGATGACACATTTCTTCAATATTTTAAGCAATATTACTTTTTAATTTCAGTCTTTTACAGTTTCAAAATCAAAAGGAAAAGGGCCTGAAGCAAAAGTTTGGGCACCCTGCACGGTCAGTGCTTAGAAGCGCCCCCTTTGGCAAGTATCACAGCTTCTAAACACTTTTCGTATCCAGCTCAGAGTCTTTCAGTTCTTGTTTGGAGGATTTTCACCCATTCATCCTGCAAAAGGCTTCTAGCTCTGTGAGATTTGTGGTCTCGTAGGAAATATTTACTAAAATGTACCTTAGATTTCTGAAACCTCACATTAAACACTAGCTAATGTGGTGTGGTCGCGTCACAGGCAGCAGAGTAAATATAACATTAGCTCATTATTTTCAATTATAATGTTGCTAACTGAGTCTTTTACAGCAGACATTTTGGCGTGTCATACTAGTGTCACAGATGTAATTAATCACATTGATGATGGCTGCATTCTGTTATGATGAGCTAGTTTAGGGCTTTGGTATTGTGAGTGCTGTCTCCCTTTGACTTACTGGGACACTAAATGGAACTGAGCCATCATTAAGGAAATTAGTTTCACCTGTTCCTGCTAAGACGAGACAAAACGTCTGCTGTTGAAAAACTGCACTGTACCTGCTGTCACGTCTGTCTGAAGGTAGCAGCGGGGTCATACTGGTAAGTTAATGATAGTTTAATGAGGAGAGATAGGTGAATGAAGCAGAGATAATTGTTTAATACAGATTAATGAATGATATGGGATGATTAAGATTTGACAGAATGACTTTGGCGGTTAGACTCTGTAGGGACATTTTTAATGAAGGGGCGTCTGCCCTGAGCAGCAGCAAGATAAATCCCACCTTGGAGTCCAGACACTAGTGGTGGTGGTGGTGATGGTGGCGGCTCCCAAGAGATTTTTGGGAGGGGTTGAGTGTTTGCACTGTCCACCAGCAAAAAGTTGAAAAGTGCCGTTTGAATTACAAAAACATATAAAAACAATCACAGTGTGGCGCGTGGCAGTGTTGCTGCTGGGCTGAGGCAAGAGTGGCTGATTCAAACAGCGGACCTCTGCAACAAGTTCATCCTTCCTGTGTTGCACTGTGACCGGCGTGCGGTGGTGCGGCTTCCCTTTGTCAAGACACAGCAGACAGCTGCAGCAGGAGACGGTGAAGAGGAGGGCGAGTGAAAGAGGGAGAGCGTCAGTGTGTTGTGCTAATTGTTATCTCATTAGTGCTTTGATAAACAGGAAATGAATCATATTAAGTGCCATGTTGCTTTTTTTAAAAAAAATACTGTACCTGCAATCTGGTTGCTATGGTCATGGATGACACCATGTGTGACTATTAACCACACCCCAATTCTCTGTTTTAGAAAGAATGTTAAAAGTTAAACAGGAAGTAAAACTGGCTGGAGGGAGGCTTTAATTGACAGCGCTAGAGAATGATGGCAAAAAAATGAGAGTTAGCATGCATGCTAGAGGTAAACAGCAAGTTTGAGAGATGAATTTCAGGCCTAAGTTTTCAAGACGGAAGTTTTGCTAGAGCTTCATTTTGTCAGTGTATCCCAAAATTAGACCTTCATTTGACTTTTGCTAGAATGTCTCATTAGAAGACTGGTCCCACAGAAGACCAGTGCTTTTTATTAAACTAAGGATCCTCTCAGACCTAGAGTTGTCTCCTTTGGTCTGAATCAGGGACTCATGCTGTTCCAAAGTTGTATAATTTCCTAGAGTTGGTTCGCGTTCTCACGGGGTGCCGTAGCATTGTTCCGACCTCTCATTGTGCCGACCTCTCATTAGTCCGACGTCCCGTTGTTCCGATATGTGATTATACTAGGCTATACTGTATTTGTGTACCATAGAGGATCAGCAATGCAACAAAAGTAGGCTACTGGTTGAGATACAAGTGTCATAGAGAGGAGAGAATGAAACACCATAACCTTTTGTTATTAACTCTGGGGTCCGGGTTGTGTGGGGAGCTTTCTGCGGTGCTGAACGGCTCCCGGCGGGCGTATTTCTGCCTTGATGGTGCGCCGCGACCGGCTCTGGGTCAGCTGGGAAAGGCTTGAGGCGAAGCAGGCTCACAGCTTATGTGTTTGCCACCTTCTTTTTCATTTTAACCCACACCATGATCTTTTCCTGACCCTAACCAAGTGGTTTTTGTGCCTAAACCTAACCAGACCTTAACCACAGGGCATCATGATGATTTCGGCACAACGGGACTTCGGAACAATGAGATGTCGAACCAATGGGCAGACCCTTCTCACAGCAGCATTTACAAGAGGACCAGATCAAATGCCTTGTGTGAGAAAGCTGCTCTTGATTGGTCAGAATTTCCATGTGGGAAAAATCCAGGAAGTAAAACAAACGTTGAAGAAGAGTACACTTGCAAGATAAATGTGAAACTTTCTAATGTCACAATGGAGGGACAACTACGCAGGTTGATTTTAGCGCTGCTCATCGTGGACTATATTGCTGTCATTGTTCATTTTAGTCAAACCATACAGTTTGAAAACGAGGCGCGGCTCCAACTAGAAAACAATGTTTTGATGCATTGGATGTGCTGAATGTGCATATTAAGGCAGTACAGGAGGAGGTGCACAATAATAATCCTCCAGGACTGTAACATGCTCATGTTTAACCCAAACAATGTGTCATGTGACTGCAGTTGCTTCACATCCAGGTTGGAACA